ACGACTTGTACAAGTCGTTGTTGTTGTTGCTTCTTTACTTGGAACTTTGTGGCTGATATGGTCAAGGCTCCAAGTCCAAGGATGGCTAAGCAGCCTGAAGCAGCAAAGACACCATCTTTGACCAGGTAACAATCTTCCTCGAGCCACCCTTCTCCATAAGCTTGAGCTCGGCTCATGCTTATTGCAGTACTCAGAATCAAAACCACTACCACAAAATTCGACCTGACACATAATAGGCAAAGAAACCAAAAGAATGAGAGAATGAAAAAAAAGTGCATCTTTTCTTTAGCTTTATAAAACTTCTACGTTACATCACTTGTTGTTTATTAAGGTTTAGAATCTTCGTGACCAAAAAAAAAAATCTTAGGGGTGGGTCAAAAACGGTAACCGAAAAAATCGAACCAACTTAAACCGATTGTTTTTTAAAACCAATAAACCGAACTAGAACCAATTTTAGTGTAATAACCATGGAATAATTCAAAGTTTCTTCAAATTTCATATTAATAATAAATATAAATATACTACCTAAATATAATATATTAACTAAATCGTTACAGATTTATTTATTTTAAATTATTTTGATAAAATCAAACCAAATCTATATCAAAACCCAAACCAATCCAAACCGGAACTACATCAACCAAACCGATTACAAATGGTTTTATTGAGTTTCGCTTTTTATAAATCAAACCGCAAATCGGATTACCCACCCACCCTTATTTTAGATTACCATATACAAATTCGATAAGATATTTCTATCGCTATTTTTGGGGATTCTTTGCATTTTTTTTGTTCCTTTTAACTTTTTAAGTTAAAGAAAAAAAAAACAGAAAAGAGTAAAATATATTACCAGGAGAGTAGCAATAGAACAGTGGGTAAAGTAAGATCAGTAATCTTGTAACCATGTTCTGTTTTGATCCTTGTTCTGTGATTTCGAAACACAACTATGTTTCCAACGATCTGAGCAAGACAGAAGCAGAGAATAGCTGCTGATCCAAGTCCAAACGCATGACTTCCCGGTACATAACAGTTCTTCTTTGTGTCCCATCGAATATCTTCTTTCTAAACACATGAATTTTTCACAAAACTTGGTTCGATTTTTTCGATTAAGAAACACGAAAAGCTATTTTTTATGGAACTTAGGTTTTACTACGTACCTTTGTTCTCTTGAACTCAGCTGCAAAACATGTGATGAAGGAAACGAGACCAAGAGAGAACACAATTGAGTAGAGAAAAAGGTTATGCATAGTTTGTTTCCAATGATTTTGTGCCTTCATGGATAAAATCAATCGGACACACGTAGATTTATACATGGATAATTCTACAACATAAATGTTATACTTTAAGATTATTTGAGGCAATTTCTCATGGGAAATGTTCTTTGTCAACTTAATATGAGAGTGGGAAAAAAGGAGAATATTCTTAAATCAAATGATTTTTTCTTTCTTTCCAAAACCACTAATTTAAAGGAAATAGATAATGCAACACAAATCTTAAAATTTAGGTTATGTGATGCAACTTCTTGCAGAAATCTTCCTTGTCAACTAAATGAATATGGAAATAAAAAGGAGGAGAATATTCAATGATATTTTATCTAAATTAGTAAATATCTACTTTTGTTGACTAAAGTGGAGGTCAAGTTAGATAATTTGGCAACATAGCCTTTATATGTATAAAGAAAAGGCAGAATAATGACATGGACTTAATGTGGAGTATAGATTAAGCNTTCCCCAAGTGAAACTTGAATTTTTTTTGTATATGGTTTTGTATTGTTTAGAAACTTTGAAAGTTTGATCTTTTTAAAATATCAATTGGCTGATAGGCTTAGATTATCCATTTTGGTCATCTTTATTTTTCGTATTTATCAAACTGCTAGCGACTAGTCTTTTTTTTTTTTGTAATAATTGAAAAGGAAATGGAAGTCGCTAATCCTAATTGGTACTCGAG